GAGGGCAGGGAGTCTTTCCCTTGGCTCCACTCCTGGTCTTGAGGGAGAGTTAAGATGGGGAAAACTCTTCTGGGAGCAATTTAACTCTGATTATCTCAGTGTTATTTTGCTCCCAGAGGGGATGTTCAGATGAACATGCATATGCATTTCCCCGGGGACATGCACTCTTGTGTGCAAGTTGCCCCGGGTGGGGTATGGGAGGCTGAGCCCAGCAGCCTTACCTGGAGTCATGGGGGCCCTCCAGGGCTCCAGCAGCAGCAATCTGGGTGCATGGAGCCTGGCTGGCAGCTGGAGTGTGGCTCCAGCTGACCAGGCTCTGGTTTTGGGCAGTGCATGCTGCTGCCATGTGCAGCACCCTGCTTTTTTCTGCTATGAGTTTTTTTTTTTGACACGGGTATCTCCAAGTGTCAAAAAACCCCTGCTGTGCTGCAAATTAGCAGTGTGTGCAGCGCATGCAGTTTGTGGAGCTGCAGCTGGGTCTTCAGTGCTGCAAACATGTGCACTCATCTGGGTGCTCCCATAGTGGCTAATTTTTGCTCTGGGAGAAAAAGACTGAATGTCTATACAATTTTGGTTTTTACTAGGAGAACAGCAATTCTCTCAGTAGAAGCATTTGTACTGAGTCATAATTCCGCTCCTTCCAGGCTCCCAATCTTCCTCTATCTCCCAGTTCCCTGGTTTAGCTTTTCCCTGTCCCCTTAGCCCTAGTCTCCTTGCCCAGCCAGTCCTTATTCCCTTTCTCGCCCCCTGGACTGCTTCTTTCCCTTCTGGTCTCCAGTTCCACACCCGTGGCTTCCAGTCCCAGTTTCCCTTCCTATGCTTCTCATCTAATCTCACTGTCCTTGTCTCCTCCAGCTCCAGTTTCATTTCTTTCCTACTTCGGCTTTTTGTCAGATGTCTTCCTTCCTCTTCAGGCCTTTCTTCCTGTCCCTCCCCTCCCATTCCTCATTCAGTTTCCCTGATATCCAGACTCCTTGCTCAGCCAGTCTCTGAATGTCCCCACTCCATCCCTTGTCCCCATCTATTGCCGTATTGTTATGTTGTAATACCCACAGTCCATTTATTGCCCCTTCTGTGTCTGAATCAGATGGCTTCCTCCTCCATGTTGCCAAGATGATGTCAGGAGGGTCAGGAAGGAGCCCTGTGCTCTCAAGGTCAGTTCCAGTGCCTGGCTCCACCACAGTCTGGAGTCCCCACTGCAGGGAAAGCTCAGCTTTCACCCTGGTAGCCCTGATTGGGAGGGAGCCATGAGCAAACAAGTCTGAATATGTAGGACACTTTCAATGCTAAGTGTAACTTTATGGATTTAAGGCTAAGTCTGTAGGAGTATAGCTATAGTAGTACACTATACCAGCAACATAGTTAGTTGTAAGTGTGGGAACAGCCACATTGTGCTTTATATCAGTTTAGTAATACCACTTCACATACCTGAAACAAGCAATACCAGGAAAAGCACACCTTTGCTGATATAACTGTATCTATACCAGAGTTTCTGACATATGTATGTTAGTCGTGGAGTATAGCTTTTCCCTCCTTCCTCCTTCCCCATGTGCATGTGCTCGGGGGACCCCCCAATATGCATGTGCTTGAAGAAGTCTGGAGTGTAGATTGGCTCCTTAAGCATGTGTTGGCCCCTTTTATTAAGTTTGACCCTACCAGCCTTAGTGCAACTATTAATTCAAGTTAAAAGAAGCTGGGGAAGGTCATTAAGCTTGGGGGATGGAGGGAAACATGATCACATGAATTTTATTGGTTAGAGGCAAACAGAGCAGCTCTTTGCCAGACTCTGCAGTGCTGATTGGGAAAACAGGAAAACCATCCCCCAGTGCAACACGATAATTCCAATCTCCCAGAGCTGCAGATGTTTTATAGAAAACTTAATGAAAATTGTGACTCTAACAACCACTTGCTAATGCACTAATCTGTTTCCTTTTCACACAAATTAGTTGTTATGGATAAGCAGGTGTGAGGCTGAAGTTGGCTTTGGAAAAACTGCCTGACATAGTAAGTCTTTCAGTACATCTAGCTATTAGCTAACAGAGACAGGGAAGAGAACAAATACTGAGATGATGCTGTACAATATTTGTTTGAGATCTGAAGACAATGTGCCACTGTTCGGTCTAAATGAAATTGCCTTGCCCAACATATTATGCATGGTGTAAAATTTGTTTAAAAAGGGGAAAGTGTGCTGCTGTATTTTAGGAGCACCGTTTTGTTTAAAGTGAAAGCACTGTGACAGAAGCTTCACAAAATTGATGTCCTCTGTCAAAAACTAGGGAAGATTACTTGCTGATGGCTCAGGAGACATAGCAGGAAAAACTGTGATCTTATGTGTAAGGTAGAGTGAAGAATGCATCTAGATTTTTGAACAGGAGGGTACAGGAGAGAGTTTACTGATGCAGGGGATGTGACCTGTGATGAAAACCAGTGAAGCAGGGTGCAAATGCACCCATGCAAACCCCTTGGATCTGCCCCAGAGTTGGACAATGTAATGTTACTATACTTTTTGTTGTTCTGTTTTGATCTACTCTTCATTGAAATACAGCTTTAAGACATACTTACATGCATTAAATGTTATGAGTATTATTATAGCTATGGAAAGATATTTTACTCTTGAGGGCAAACCTTTGGCTTATCTTATGTGGTAGAAAGGGGTGAAGTATATTCTAAATGATGCCTACACTGGTCCTTCCCCAGACTCACTGATCTTGAAGAAGGTTGAACCTGATTTGTAAATGGGTTACAGACAGTGATAAGTGATAGAAAGAATTGGAGCGATTGATACAATCTCTGTTTAGAGGTTGCATCTGTATAGCTTACAGCTCCCTCACAGGAGGTTTCTATACTTTGGGACTTGCCGATTTCTCAGGGCCTGTTGTAGGTAAAGCTGCAGAACAGCCAGGGGAAGACTTTTAAGGTGTGGAGAATGTGAGGTTTTGTGGTGAGTTAATGTTGTGTTCTTCTTTGGGCTGAGGGAAGTAAAACCTATGGCGGGCCATGGGGGTGTGACTTAACCTCTGGGACTCTGTGAAGACTTATTTGGTTGGTACAGCCATAATGGAAGGTTGGATGAATGCTAGTATTGAATGAGGATGTGACAAGGAGAGTAAATGTTTGCCAAGTAGAGGTGGGGTTTTTAGAGCTTCATTGGAGACATCAGGAAAGGACCATCAGGATACCAGAACTATGTTTATCAGGGAATGTAGGAGTACGGACTACCAGCAAGGTGAGCATGTCTACACATGCATTAATGTGCCTTTTCTAATGCGCATTAAATGTAGTACCTCCAGTGTGAGGGTGCCTACGCAAGAGCCTGGAGGCTGCTCCAATGCACTGGAATTATGTCTGCTGGATCATGGCAATTACTGTGCTCCAGCAGCCTCCTGTGTCTTGTGTATCAGCATCCCTAGGCTTAAAAATGGTGGTGGGGGCACATGAACTAAATCTCGTCAAACAAGCTGTAGCTCAAGTGTCCCTACCACCATTTTTTTGCATAGGGACGCTGATACACGGGACATGGCAGCATTTTAATTAGAACGGCTCTTGGAGCCGCTGTAATTAAAGTGCCACCCTGTCCATCCCTGGATCACATGTAAAAGTGCCCCTAAGTACTAAATTATTGTGCATTATGCTGCCCTAATATGCAGTAGTGCATTTGTGTGGTTTTTAAGTGGTGCCCAATACACCGTAGACTATTTTACTATTAGACTATTTTACTGTGCATTAATGTAATGTCACAGTTTTTTTACACAGTAAAGCACACATGTAGATGCTCCCAATTAGACTGAAATCAGAGAAAAAAGCAGCTTCTGAGAAGGAAGTCTGAAGTGGAATATTCAGTAAGTTTTTTTTCTTTTTAAGAGGGTGAGCTCATCCATGGCCTGTTAACTGCAAGTAATAAAGTAAAAGTGTGTTAACTGTGTCTGAATTGGAACTGCAGTAAGTGGAGTATTCCTACCATGGCCTTCAAAAAACACCAATTTTATTTATCATTTTTGGTGATTATAATGGTTACCTGAGTTGAGGAAATAGGAAGACTGTATCATGCTACCGGCTTTGACCCCCCTTATTATTCATTTTACATGTTATAACTTGAGACTTCGTTTGGTCAAAGACTAAACATGAAGGTGGGAGGAGGTAGGAATCCTTGAGTTATCCTGATAGACCTGACACTGGCATCACTGGGCATTGGAGATCCATGTTCTTAGTTGTTTGTTTCTCATGGTCCTTATAGGGCCCATGGGCCTTCTGTGTTTGTTCACTGGGACATTTCAAGGCTTAGCTGTGGCTGATGGAGGCAAGTGTCTACTATCTGTGATGCAATTCAAATACTGTTAAGTTTTAAGTGTTGCTGGTCTGTTTCTTCAAGAAGTGTTGTTTTCATGGATGTGCAGCAGACTGGTGTAGGCAAGACGCATCAGTTGCCTTTCCAACAGTGCACAAGAGTGATACAGCTACCTTGGACTTCCTGGACTGAATGACTATTGACCCATTTACAATTGGGTCAACTGGGGCAGCCTTTGACATTAGTTAAGAGCAAAGATTAAAGTCATGCCTTGGTCATGGTAGCCGAGAAATGCTTTATCTCCTTGGTGTTATGCAGCTAACTGGTATTAGAAGCACTTATACCTATGTTTGATTTTTACATTATTATTACGACAGCAATATGTGAAGGGAATTTGCTTTCAGCTTTAGAGGAGAACAGGTGGATTATTTTTTCATGCCTCATCTGTAAAAATAATAATAATTCCTAACAGTATTTTATATCCCTATAATGTGCTGTTTTGTAATGGTTTGAATATTTGTGAAGTCAATCTTGATTCAGGTTTCAATACTAAATTTGTGTACTTTGTACCAGTTTGTTCTTGAATGAATGTGAAAAATGTATGTGGTTTATATGCTGAAAGGTGGAAGCCTGGGCTGCGGGAGTGGAGCAGAAATGGTAGCAAAAATGGAATGTTTTGCTTCACTGTCACTTATTTTAACATATCTCATCTTAGCTAACTGTGCACCACCATGCCAAAATGGAGGGATGTGTCTACGACCTCAGCTGTGTGTGTGCAAACCAGGGACAAAAGGTAACTCCTGTGAGAAAACTGTCATGCAAGATACTTCATCTGTTGGAGGTCGGGGTCCTGTGGGTCCCCCGTGGCCCATACCTCAGCAATCTGCTCAACAGACTTTCTCTAAGAAGGTTGTGCTTCCGCAAAAAGTCGGTCCAATGGCTCAAATGGCCTTCACACTCAAGCAGAAGCCACCTGTTGGATTACCTCAGCAAATGAAACCACAGTAAGTTTTCTCTTTGATTCTTAAATATGTCAGATTTTAATGATATAATTAGATATGATTTTAAAGATATTCTTTATAACTTTTCTAAATAAGCTGAGCAAAGAAGTAAAGATATCTTTACTCGGAGATCTTTTAAAAATGCGTTGTGTAAAATCAGACATTTTTATAACATCCCCTCTAACTGTATCGTCGCTGTGGTTATTGTAATCTCTGGACCAAATGCACTCAGTTTAGCAGGATAGCTTTGTTCTCCTCTTAGATTGATTTTTTATTCCTCTTGGGCTGATTTTTTTTTATGCTGATGTAACTGTTGATTTCAGGGGCATTCACGTGTCAGAGGAATATAAGGCCCTGTGGTCCAATTTGCTTAAGTTTAACTGAGAGCGGAATCCAGCACAGCTCTTTTTGCTAAGGTCCAAGAGTCTGTTCCAATAGGTACTTCAACCTGTTCGTAGTATGGGGGCAGAATTCACCCTGTCAGTCACAGGGAGCAGAAGAAAGTGCCATCTTCATAACTTCCCTTTAGGGGTGGCCACAGTGAACAATGGTCTAGCTCAGGGTACATAGCACCACCACTGCACAGCCCTTTCCCCCTCCCTCCCCACCCCCCCAACTTCTGCTTTAGGAGTCCAAATCAGGTTAAGGGAATCAAATAGTAATATATATTTAAAAAACAAGCAAACAAAACAGCAGAGAAGAGGCTCTTCCAGGCAAGAGTGTATCAAGTATTTTGAAAGTATGCCTCTGAGATCCCTGGCTGCCCCCAGAGAAGCTAGAGCTTATATATTCCTTTCATGATCCCCGGAAAGGTGTAATAGAAGTGGAGGGATTTCCTGCCACACCTAAAAGATTGGGGATGCATGGCACTGTCATCCCCAGCTTCTGCTGTAGGTCCTCCAATACTAACTTGTAGGTTGTCATTCCTAGCTGCTGGTGTGGGTCACCATGGCCTAGTGTCCAGAGTGTTTTAGCAGCCTTTGTTGCAGGTTGCTGGACGTTGTTACTGCCTCCCCACTGCCCATAGATCTCTATGGAATAGGAACAACAGCATCTCTGGTGTGGACAGGAAGGGACCCACCATTTGTTTTTTCTACCATGGGCCTCATTTTCATAGTTTCATAGTTTGTAGGGTCGGAAGGGACCTGAGCACATCATCAAGTCCGACCCCCTGCTATGGCAGGAAAAAGTACTGGGCTCAAACGACCCCAGCAAGGTGTTCGTCTAGCCTTGTCTTAAAGACCCCCAGGGTAGGAGCCAGCACCACTTCGCTTGGAAGTTGGTTCCAGATCCTAGCCGCCCTGACAGTGAAGTAGCACCTCCTGATGTCTAGTCTGAATTTACCCTCTGCCAGCTTGTGACCGTTATTTCTAGTCACTCCTGGCAGTGCTCGGGGGAACAGGGACTCCCCCAGTGCCTGCTGGTCCCCTTT